TATCAGCATATACTTTATGTTCTTACACTCTGACTCATTTTTGTGACTGTTCTTTTGATTTCTCCCCTCCAGTTAGGGACAGGTGTCTCTGAAAAGAGGAAAACCTCTTTCTGCTGCTGGAGGCAGGATTCTGGGCTAGTTGAATCCTTGGTTTGTTCTGGTGTGACTGTTCCTTCATACTTCAGTTTTGATGTTACCTGTTGAAGTGTACTGGATACTGAAACTGCAAGAATGGTATCACTATTCAGGACAGGGTACTGCAGCATCTAAGAGATGACTGTGGTAGAAGGATTAGCTGATACTTGACATCCTAACTTGCTGACCAGAAGGTAACAGAATCCCTTATTTTAGTACCATGTTAGTGATATGGTTCTAGCATATGTACTAAGCAAGTGTATTTTTACGTGTGCATGTCTTCTGAGTATGACTGCCTGTGGAGCTGTGTCAGTCTTTGGAACTTGTACCATTAAGACTCTATAAGTGTGTTCATGAATGTCTGCAATTAGGCTGCAACTTCATGTCTGTTAAACCATGCTTCAAAAAAGGAGAAATCCCACTTTGTGTTCCCTGTTTGTCTTACTGAAGTAAGTACCGTGTCCGTCTGCAATTGTTACCAATGTATTAGGGAGGAAAATGGGTGGTGGTGAGTGGTTTTATTGTTACTTTAAAGATGAAGGCTTTAGTATTCTAGTGAAAATTAACCTTGCATGTTGACACTGACTGCACTTGTACTCCTAAAATTGAGCATCTCTTTGAGATGGCTTGGAACGTGCATTTGTGTTGACAGCTTTGACTGGAATGCTTTGGAGCTGTGCTGTGACCCTTAGCTTTGTATTGGTGACTTTTTGTTATTTGAGACTGACCAGTTCTGCCATTCTGAGGATTTCTACTAGTCTGTAAATCATCATTTACAGCTTGTCCCAACAGTAAGATGTGTAAATTAATTACTTCTGAGGGTCATTAGTAGTATTTTCAGTTAACCAGAACAATTTTTGTAAGATGTTTTGTTTTCTTTTGTAGGCTTTTTGGTAATCTTATTGTCTTGTTCTAGATTAACTAACATTTAAATAAGAATGCTCCTTAAAAATGGAATTTCAATAACATATCCCTTCCTGTTCTGAAATCAAGTTGCATGTGAAGATGATGTCCCTTAGTGTCCTTACTTTCTGTTTCCTTTCATGTCTGGCTGAAGAATCCTATTACACCTTGTCAGGAATAAAGCCCTTCTCCCAGTGTGTCAAACTTTCAAGCAGAATGTTTAGTTATTACAGTGTTTTTAGGGAATTGGTACGGTTCCCTTTGTCAAGTTTTTGAGGTTTTTCTTCCATGAAAATACTCACTGTGTTTTTATCCCGCAGCTAGTATTCACGTGCGGCCATATAAAACTGCCATGCTTCTCACGGTTTGGCTGCTGTCTAGTGTTCTAATGGACAATGAGGTTGCCATGTCCATGTAGTTTGTTGCACCTCTCATTTTTTGAGGGCAGCAGATGTGGTTGTGGATTGCTTGGTTAACCTGGAGAGAAGACCCCCTGGGACAACAGTCAGGAGATTCCTGGTTTAGATAATTTTCTCTATGGTTTTTAGTTTTGTAGTATAAGTAGAAGAGAAATTGTTCTCTGAAGCTCATAAAAACAAGAGTTTTCTAGTCAAACCACTTTCAAGGCTGGTAATTGTTGCTGTATGGTAGAAGTCTTGAAACCTTTTTGAGAAGGAGCCTTGGAAGTATGATATGGTCATGTAAGAAACTCTTCTATTAGTAATTAGTTATTATATTAATGCTTGGTTGGTTAGAACAAGAACTTGTTACTCTTAAAACTATACTGACATATTTTAAGAACTGTCAAGAAACCTCTAGAACCAATAATGTTGATGTAATACATTGAAATACCTCAGACATGTTGGAGTAGGTGAAAACTACATCTGTGGCTGGAGCAAGTGGGAGGATTTGGTAAGAGTTTAGATTCTGGACAAAAGAAGGAAGGGTGGATTCAGAACAGAGGAATTAGTGAAGTAGTTAAGGAGTGGCTTTATTAGCTCAAGTTAATCAGGCTATGTAGTAAGTAGATGCAGATTGATTAACAGTTGTTAATTGCATATGCAGCTGATAAATTGCTGCAGTTGCATTTAGCTTACTTGTCTCAAGACAGCAGGCATTCTAAACAATATTAACATCTTAAAATGTGTCTCAATTATTGGTTAACCTGCTATAAAATCCATAACTTCAGAGAGATTTTATGGAAATGGTCACTTTAACCACTACGTATTTGTGAAGGAGAGGCTAACATTGGTATCTCATCTGGATTGCTTCATAAATTCAATGTTTGAATTTATCCAAATACAAAATTGTTTACATGTGAGATTGATGCTGGGAAAATCTAACACCATCATTGCCTTCACTTAATTGCTGTACTGTCCTAGCATATGTAGAATTGCAGCTGACAGTTTTCAGTTTTGATCTTTGCAGGCATGGAAGTGTATTTGTGTTTGTTCCGTGGCTTTCATCAGTGCTAAAATGTGTGTGAGGTATACTGAAATCTACACACTACTGTGTCTCATGCCCCCACCCTGCCCAATCTAAAACCATATAATCAAGATTTCATGTATACTCAATAAGATTGACCTTGGGAAGAGACCATAATTACATAATTATCCTGTCTGGATAACTAACGATCAAACTGGGAGGTTGGCAGTCATCTAGAGCTTTGGCTGTGTTTCTCTAATTCTATTTTAGGCTATTTAGATTAAAAGTTTAGTGTACTGGCAATGTTCTGCAGAGTTACTGAATGAAATACGTAGAAGCTTTGTCAGATTGGTAGCTTGATAATCTAATAGGCTATGTCTGAGAATTTGCACCCACAGAATGAAATCATGAAGTGGTACAGGGCTTGATTTACAAGCGTGCTTAAACATCTCCTGCTTCTACCAGTTTTAATTTGATATCTGAATCAAATATTCAGATGTCTGAAAACCATTCCCTGTGTTTGAGTGTTTGTGTTTGTGGTTTGGTGTTTTTTTTTTGGTGTGGGTGTGGGCGGTGTGTGTGTTTCCCTCCATTTGCTGTGTCAGAGGAAGCTGAAGTACTTACTGCTGTTGTGTAGGTAGCATGCTTAATTTTCTTCTGAGCTCAGGCATGTGGACAAACTGTTTGCAGAGTTTTGGAGAGGGAAGCTTTCTTCTTCATTCATGTTTTACATATTTTATACATCATTTGTTGGTTGTAATTGTAGAAATGTGTTCCTTACCATTGCTACATATATGAGCGATGAAATCATAATAATTTCCACTTCAAGCTTGCCTTTCAAAAAAAGGTGAAGTGGGTCAGCATCTGGGTGCTGCAAACAGTGCTATGGAAGTTTGTGCAGATAATAAAAATCACATCGTTTTACAAATTTTGTTGTTGTTAAAAAATGTACGTATTTTCAGTTACTTATCCAGATGCAATTAGACTTGGCAAAGGTTAGGGGACCCTGGGTTTATAAATTGGTCCTTAGTTTCTTTTGTATCCTCTGCTTCTCCTAAATGAGAATTCTTGCCATGATTTTGATCTAGTGTGTCCACCTTTATTTCTCATATTTGTCCCGTTTATAGCTAAATTAACTGAGCAGCTTAATAATCATGGTTATGTTTCAGGAGTCAAGATTTTGTCAATCAGCAGACTTTGGGAGGCAACTCTTGATGTTTTGTGAATATCTTACACATGGGAGTGTCTTACAAGAAGTCAAATTGGTTAGCACTGTCAGAGGCTGATACTGGGTTAACTTCAGATGCAAGCAGAAATGCTGTGTAAACAGCTGCAGTATCTGGGATGAGGGAGTGAGTGTAATTACACCATGTAAATGAAATTATGTATTTTGGACACTATTTAAGATGGTACTTACCTTTTACTATGTCTTGGTATAGAAAGTTGAACTCCAAGATTTTAAAATGCATAAAACTTTTCCTGAATTGAGATTTCTTCCAGTTTCTCTATGCAAATGCATCAGATTTAGAAGCAGTGAAAAGTAAACTTTTTTTAAAATTTTTATTTTATTTTGGAATAACTCTACTTTTTGTAGAACTGCACATGAAGCAGTGTGCCCCTTCAAGTGCTACCTGTTCTTGGTGTGCTTTCAATATCCATATGATGACATATACAGCTAGACCTCCAATTTTGTGTCAAGTTTCTCAGGATGGTTTTTTTTCTTTTTGTGCACGGTGAACTATGGTCAGTACAAGCTTCATTTGCTGTTTGAATAGCATGTGGAAATGTTAATTTCAGTGTAAGCTCAAACTGTGGGTGAAACAAGAGTTTGTGACTTAGAAAGGCAAGACAATATGCTTTAATGGTGACTGCTTCCTGCCTTGGTAACTTTTCAGTTACCAGATGATCAGTCTTAAGTGGAATCATAGCCCAAATTACTTGTCTGATTTCAACTTCTCTTCCTGGAAGAATATATTTTTGTAGCTGAGAGGAATATAATAGATAAATTTACCCTTTCAGGAGCTGTGGAAACTTTTATTTAGAAAGGAAGGAATGGTCATTTAGTCACACTGTGGTTTTTTTCACCTGAATTCTCATTGTTTCATCTCTTGTCAAAACAGAAAATGCTTATGAATTGTACAGCTCTGTTGTATGGATTACTGCTTAGTAAAAAAGTAGTTCTACTTTTTTAAACTAGACACTAAAAAATGTAAAACTGTTATGGTTTCAATGCAATAGAGTCATTAAAGCAAGAACTTGGTAAATGGTAGGCATGTTGTTTTTTTTTTTTTGCATGGAAATAACTGTGAAATTTGCAGATTACAAGAATCTGGTTTAATCTAAATACTAGTATAGTGCATTATCAAATGTGGAATTAAGTCAAAGGTTAATAACTGTCTAATTATTATTTGTCATATTATGGACTTGTTTGTTTTTATCTGAAGATTACAGTGTTGTTATAAAGCTCCGGTGTTGGTATACCTTTTTTGTATTTTCAGACTCTAGAATTAATTAATATTTTTTTTCTTTTCTGATAGTCAAGAATCCCTTCAGTGAAGAACGACAAAAAATAGAAGTAAGTAAACCCACTTCATATTGAGATTTTAGTCTGTCAAATGATTGTATAAAAGCAGTATAGATCTGTTCAGAAGGATGTAGTTCTGTAAAGTTTTGCATGAGATGAACACAGTCCCTGCAACTCTAATGTTTTAATTTTTTGTTTTTCATCTTGGGCAATATAACTAGGATTACAAGGTTTGGCTGTGTCATTCTGGTTGCTTTATATACTAAGAAAATGTTACATAATTTGCATTTTAGAGCTATGAGGAAAAATTGCACTGTCTTTAAGTTTTGAGACTAAATTTATCAAATTTGTCTCTTACTGTTACCATTTGGCTTCTCAACCTTGAAAGGACAGCTGGTAAGAGATGATTGACTTTGGAACTCCAGGATCTTACTTAGTGCCATAGAAGAGCAAGGGCTAGCCTCCTTCAGAAAATGGATTAAAAAGTTTATCTTTTTCACTTTGATTCTATTCTGTTACTTGTTCCTATATTCACTCTTTCAACTGGAATATCGGGTTAACCATTTCTGAGATGTTACTGTTGTAGGTATCTATATTATTCTTAGTTCTGCAGCATACATTTTGGTGATTATCTCTTCTGTCTGTCAGTCTTTCTGCCTGGACTGTAAACATAGTGATTTGCTTTTTAGGCATACATAAACAAGTATTGCAAGATAATTTTGTAGGTTTTCTTGGGTATTTTTTTTTGTATTTTTTTTGTCTAAGATTGAGCTCTCCAAAAGTGAATAATTGCATATTTTAACTTGTCTAGTTTCTTGGGTAGAAAATGTTTCTGAATCTTTGGACTAAATTGAATTTTGTGGGGTAAATGCTGAGGATTCTTTCAGTATGACTAGTAGTGCAGAGAGAATAATGCATCTTGTGCACTGGGCTTGACAGCTTGAAAACCTGTTTTGTGTGTTAAGTTCTTCTGTGTTTCTTGTGTGCTGTTCCATAGTAATTATACTCCAGCTTGATTTGTTCACCAGCTACGAAGGTTGTACTGTGCGGTTCCTTCCTCTAAGTGGTCTGATGGTTAATTTGCAAAAAAAGAATTTGGTCACAAAAATATTTCATGTACCTGTCTCAGTGTAGCTATTAGTAAAGTCATAGGTGTACCTATTGGTAAATAAATGGAACTTGGAGTACAGCTGGTGGTGTGTGCATGTTGTAGAAGACTGACTTTCCTCTTCTGCCATGCCCAGTATTTTCCAGCCAGGAAACGAGTTGTTAAGGTTGGTTAGTTTCCTGGGGAGTACCAACTATATTGATATAATCTCAATGATGGTTTTGTAGGAGAAGCGATGCTCATAATTGTTGATATTGTCTATGAGAATTAATTTGTCAAATGTTTGCTCAATGAAAGAAATATTCAACTTTTTGGTATCAGTTTCCTTATGGAAAAAAAATTGGAGCGTTCAAATTTTAAAATTGTCAGACAGTGCTGATGTGTGGGAGAATTAAAGTATATATATATTATTTTTTTCGTTTGTGAGTTTAATTCAGCAGATGCACAAACTGGAAAATTACTTCATATATTTTCTGAATAAAGGCTCTAGTCTTATCTCAGCTATTTGACTCTGCCCCAGGAGTCAGAGCCGACTTAAAAAAAAACAGGAGGGAAAAAAAAAAAAAAAAAAAAAAAAAAACAACAAAAAACCCAAACAAACCAAAAACAAACAAACCCAAAAACCTAACAACAAAATCCCAATGTTTTAGAATGGCCTTAGTACTCAGTGTATGTAATTGCATGTTCCCCATCCTCATGTTTTGAGTAATTCCCTCTAATATAAGATGTTTCTGGATCTGTTTCAATGAAATTGCTCAATATCTTGGTAAGTTTAAGTCCCCTGCAAGTAAAAATTATATGACATCTCATATTCATGTTTTGGTAATTACGTCTTTTTATACTAGTGGCATATGCAGGAATTATCAACAAGACTGTATAGTCCATGGCTTTATGGGTTTGTGTGCTGTGTTTTTTTTCTTGTTGTTTTGTTTTTTAAGTTACTGTAGTTTGAAGGTAGATAGCAAAAATCTTACTTTGCTATGAATTTTATGCGGGAATATGACCAGATGGTACTTCAGTGTGGTTTGTACGAAGTGTCACTGCACATTTATTAAGAATAAAACTGCTTTATTTTTCCATAGTAGCTATCAAAAAACCCCAAAAAATCCCAAACACCAAAACAAACCCATCACCAAACTTCTTTTGGGTCATTGCACTGTTCTCTCAGTAGTATTAAAATAACCTTTTGAGCTGTCAGTTTTAACTGGCAATCTAGTTTCAGCTAAGATCTGAATAATCAATATTGTGAATACTTCGATTCAAAGACTATTGCTTGCATCATTGTTGATGTGTGAGACACTACAGCTTTCCACCTGTATGTGTAAACCAACTTTTTTTTCCTCGTAGTATATCAAGATTTTGGGGGTAAATGGAAGAAAATGCATCTCTACTAATATTTGTTTTAACATTAATGTGTTTTTCTAATTCTAGGAAGATGAAAAGATGAATGTTCTCATGATGAACAGCTTATATGCACTTCATGATAAATTGGCACAAGTAGCAGGTAACACTTTAAAAATATTGTGACTAAGAGTGTTATGGCAACAGCTACAAAGTCTACGCTCAGTGATTTGTAACAACTGGTATATGGTAAGGCCCTGATAGCTGTTTAGAGTTCTATTTTGGGAAACTAGAAATCCCATTTCTTGTTTATTTACGTTGCCTTTTTCACCAGTGTAGTGCCTTTTTATGCGGTGTTCTTTAACGGGACAGGCTGTTGAATATTGTGATCCTGTATGGTTTTTGATCTAATGTCTTAATGCTTTATTGATCTGATTTCATTAAAAGGTTTAAATATGCTATATGTAGAGAGGAATATGTATTTCGTTTGAAGGTAGCTATTTCACTGCGGTAGAGAAATGTCTGAAACAATATTTCACAACAATCAGAAAATGGTTACTAACACAATGAACAATAGTGGATGAACAAGATTGCCTTGTTAGACAAAATAGTCCAACTTAACCATACTAATTATATAGTAATGAAAGGCACTGTGTATAGTAATGTGGCAGGGATGGTGTTTAGGATTAATATTAATTATTGAATATTCAAAGTAAAAAATACAGTGCTTTTGCCTAAGGTCATAATTAACACAGCTTTAAACTGCATAGATGCTTACATATCACAATCAAGAAATGGTAAAGTTAAGACTGTGTTTAGAAATTTGGCATCTGGTGAGTGTGAGTTACAGCAGAATCTTAACTTCATGACTATTAAGCTACTTATCATCCTTGCTTATTTAATCCATAATGCATTTAGGAGGCAGTGGTTCGGGGGGGGGGGGGGGTGTTTGTTTGTTTTTTAAGCCTTACTGTTCTTTGTGCCAACTATTTGTTTTGCAACAGCAAGTTTCACCAAGAAGACTTTTCCACTCTTATCAGGTGCTACAAACTTTTCTCAGACATTACAAATGTGGAAACTGTGTCAGATATGAGGCTGACAATTTAATATGTCAGGGCTATATAGGAAACCTCTGAGAAGTTTGAGGAACTCTGCAATACCTTTAAATTGCAAGAGTAATCTTCCTGCAGAAGTTTTTTGTTTCCAGAGCATTTACAATATCCGCAGTGAATAAAATAGATGTTTGGACAAAACCCACAAATTTCTTCTTGTTTACATTATTCTTTAACCCAAGATAGAGAAAGATTGATGTTTAACATGAATGCATGCAAAATAAGGGTTGTTCTAGTCATCATTTTGTTGCCTTCTGAGTGCAAATGCCTTGCAGTGCTAATCTTTCACAGATCAATTATATCTTGATACATTTTTTTATCTGTTTCAAACTATTTCATACTTAAAAGCTGCTAGTAGATAATTCTGTGCTATAAATCATTGGGGGTCCAAACACATTTTTTTTCCATGCAGGGTAGCCAACTTGTGGTGTGTAGGAGTGTCTTACGAGACCCAAAGCTGTGTGCAGTAGGGGACTGACTTGTGTGAAGTAGAAGTAATGGGTTATGCTACTTCTCTCTCTGCTTTGAAAAGAAAATATTAACAGCTTGCTCTTCCTGCAGTGTGTCATCTGGCCCACAGGTGGCCATATAGGAAACAATGTCCTTGCCTGAGTAAAAAGGTTTGGTGCCTCATTTCTACATCTGTGAGAGAAATGGAGGTGTTTTTCACTAGGTGGGGCTTACTTATGTGCACATACACTTATAAAACTGTTTACCTGTCTGCCTTATGAGAGAAATTTGTATGCTTCAAGATTACTGCTTTCTTCCCCAGGTCTCAAAGGTACATTAATATCTCTTAGTCTGTTCCTGGCCAGGAGAATCTTCAGTGCTTATTTTCAAAAAATATAGCTATACTTTCTTGTTAGATGATCCCCCAAACTGAAGCTGTATTGCAAGAATACCTGGTTGCTCAGCAGAGTAGTTTTCATACAGCCTGAAGAATGACCTAATACATCTGTACTTAGAAGTAACCCTCAACGCCAAGTTCCATATGATATGAGAGGAAGAAGTCTGCCATCCATTTTTGAATACCATATTGATGTAGACCTGGCACAATATCTGGAAGCTGTTTAAAAGTCATAACAGAGAAAGCTGCTAGAGAGATGCAGGGTTTAGAAGTGTTGATCTTGTACACAGTGCACCACTTCAAAAGAGAGAGAAGTAAAGGAATGTAGTTTTACTAAAAGTGGTGCTTTTCAGGTCTCTGTGTCACATGCTTGGAAAAGTTTCTCTCATTTCATACTTGGCTATGAATCATTTGTTCATGTTATAACTATTAATATTAAAAAGGCAGGCTGGAAACTTGCAGTAGTCTGTTCTGTTAAGCTTTATTCAACATCTTGACTACCATGAAGATAGTCACTTCAGAATTTGGTTTCTAGCCCTCTTTGTTTTATTAGACTTCTTATATTTTTACCAAACTAGTTTCTTGCCTCGTCAACTCTAATTGGAGAGTAAGTGACGGGGCTTTTATTTTAGAAGTTAAAACACTGAAAGTTGTTTGAAGGACAAAAATGCCAAGGTAACAGTTTGCTAATTGGATTTGACTTAATATGCTGTGTTGCAACTGCAGATGCCTATTCTGTACTGTGGTGCTCTATGTTGTAAAATGATTTGATACTTTTATATAAAAAGAGATTGCCTTTAATGCATCACTATTCTTAGAATTACTAGTCTGCCAAACCTATAGTGAGTAATGACTCCTTCACAAGAAACTAGAGGGAGAAAGCAGTATCTACTTGTCCAGTTCTGAGTTGATGTTTGTGTTTCTGTGTTTTTCTAATGGTTCAGCTTTTCTTCAAAGCAGCAACTTTTTATAGACAGTATATATTTCAGTGCCTAACACTTATTCCTAAACCAAAATGTGCTTTATTTAAATTAGACTTCCTTCAGGCATATGCTAATTACTGGATGTCTTGGTCTTTCATGGAGAGACTTCAATAGATAACTTCCATTTTCAGTCAGGCTTGTAAAATGAATAAACCTAATCACTATATCCATAAGAAGCAGCCAGCTACCCAAGGGTATGACCTTATGTTCTTGTACATAAAGAATTTTTATTTAGTTAGATATTTCTTTTTTCTTGGCATTTTCCACAGAGTGATGCTCTATCAGATTTAGATGGTTTCCTTCTGAACCAATGGACAGCACAGGCCCTTGAGGTGCAGGGGTAAATTAGACTTTCATATGTAATAAGTCTTACTGATAAATCCATAGCTGGAAAAAAAAAATCCTGGCAAAACCCTAGATATTACTATTAATTTCAAGTGTCAGCTACTGTATGTGATTGCTGTCACAGGTTCTCCGTTCTGTCACTCTCCTTAATCTTCAGTTCTTCAGGTAATTGATATCGTGCTGTTTCCAACCAATGATTTAAAGACTATTTAGCAAGTTCTGGTTTTCCGCAGCATTATTAAACTGTTGAATTTGCCCTTGGGAGATCAGACATTCTTACTTGCTCTCTTAACACTTGTTCTGCTCCTGCTTTTCTTCAGCTACTCGCTTTAGTGTTCTCTTGCAAGTAACCTGTAAGCATGAGACCTGCTACACAAATGTTTTATATGCTATTTCCTTTTTTTGTATTGGTTGACCGTATCACATCAAGCTATAAGCTAGAGATCTGTGCAAAATCCATGTGTTCCTTGAAGTATTAAATTTCCACTGGGTTTTGGTTCTGGTACTTAAAGAGAATTATTTGCATTGTAAAGCAAATATTTAAAAATTCTGAATATTTCTGTTAACTGTATGTGCTGCAGCTCATAAACGAAGTGAAACACCCAAATGAAAATCAGTTTCAAATAGTCTAGCCTGCATGGAAAAGCAGATACGACTTACTTTCTGTATTGAAAGCAATTGTAAGAATAGACTTAAATGTTTCTTTAGAACTGAGGCTTTAGTTGCTTTTTGTTAGTATTTCTAGAACAACTCAATTTATGTGGCTTGCCCAACTACACTAACATAAGCTAAAAGGTAATTTTGTGATCCTTGCTGAGATGTGTTACATCTTGCCTCCCTACAAAGGCAAGTAGAATGGTTCTCTGATTGCACTTGAAATTGAAGTGATCTGTGCCCAAGAAAAGTTTGAGCACAAAGGTCCAAGCTTTCTGTAAGCTCGCAATAGATGTTTTAACAGAGGGGCAGTTTTCACAAAGAGCTCAGACGTATCTTGCAGCAGACCTGTATAAAGTTTTTTTGCCTCTGCTTCAGTTTTATTCTTGGATATAGGGCCTCAAATGGAACAGTTGGGAAACATTTTTGGCTCAGACTATGGAAAGTGGGTTTCCAAGCCAAGTGGTTAATGATTGCACCAAAGTTATTCAAAGTAAGCCTTCATTTGCAGAACTATTAGCTAAAGGAGTGACTGAAATGGCATATAGGAATATCCTGCTGTTTGCAGTAAAACAGAAGGTTGTCTGACTTGTGAATTGCCTAACTTTCTGCAGGCTTTCAAATTCATGAGTTTCTTAGAAGAAAGCTGCTAAATGGTTCTCCGCAATAGATGGATTGGAATGAGAAACTGAAACTCCAACAGCTCTTTGTACAGGACTGAAACTCTGTAACTCTAATTAGCTGACTCATTTCAAGAATGGGAGGCAAGATGAAAGTGATTTTTTTTTTTTATTTTTTTTTTTTTTAGCCCAGCATTGCATGAGGGTAATTTGAATTGATGGGCCTTAGACATTGTCAAGGCCTAGGCAGCAAAGGCATTTTTAACTCTTAAACTTGTTCAGAGGGATTATAGCCTGAAAAAAATTTCAGAAGCAGGACTTTGAGGAAGCTGTCCGCTGATTTTTGAAGATGAGAACAGAAGCTGTGAAGTCAGTGTGTTGGCAGCATACTGCATAAATGTAATTCCTGGAAGAAGGCAAATAAGATTAGAGTTTAAAACTACTAAGGTAATGCAATAGTCCCCCATCTAAGGGAGCTTTTGTCCTCTTGTAAAAGATAATACTGTGTTCCTGTAAGATTAAAAATCCAAAATGAATCCTGAAACTTATTTTTAAGAATTTATGTTTCATAATCTGTTTTCCTGCATGTTTGTTTTGTTTTCTGTGTATTAACCTTAACCTCTCTATTTTTTCATATTTATTTCGTGAATGGGCTTTGCTGCTTATCTAGATAACTAAAAACCAAGGTGTTTTGTTCGGTCAAATTATGACTGACATGCTTTTTCTGTATTGGAAGGACTCCAGGAAGACACTAAGTCTTACCAAACAAAAAAAGAAAAAAAAAAAAAAAGGCATAAATGGATGGATATCTATCAGACTTGCTGATATCATAAAACTTAATACCTGATTGAGATTGCACATATGGCTTTTAGACATACATTTTGGTTTTGTTGTATTTCATAGAATTACAGAATGTTTTGGGCTAGAAGGGACCTTAAAGACTAACTAGTCCAAGCCCCCTGCCCTGGGCAGGGACACCTTTCACAGATTGGGTTGCTCAAAGCCCCGTCCAGCCTGGCCTTGAACACTCCCAGGGAGGGGGCAGCCACAGCTGCTCTGGGCACCCTGTAACAGTGCCTCACCACCCTCACAGTGAAGAATTTCTTCTTTAATCTAAATTTACCCTCTTTCAATTTTAAACCATTACCCCTCATCCTATCACTACATTTCCTGAGATAGAGTCCCTCCCCACCTTTCCTGTAGCCCCCTTTAAGTACTGGAAGGCCGCTATAAGGTCTCCCCAGAGCCTTCTCTTCTCCAGGCTGAACAACCCCAGCTCTCTCAGCCTGTCGTCAGAAGGGAGGTGCTCCAGCACCCCAATCATCTCTGTGGCCTCCTCTGGACCCACTCAAGCAGGACCATGTCCTTCTTATGCTCTGGAGCCCCCAGAGCTGGACACAGCACTGCAGGTGGGGTCCCATGAAAGCAGCAGAGCAGAGGGGGAGAATCACTTCTCTTGACCTGCTGTCCACGCTGCTCTTGATGCAGCCCAGGACACTGTTGGCTTTCTGGGCTGTGAGCACACGTTGCTGGCTCATATTCAGTTTTCCACCCCCCAATAGCCCCAATTCCTTCTCCGCAGGGCTGCTCTTAATCTACTCATTGCCCAGCCTGTGTTTGTGCTTGGGATTGCCCCAACCCGTGTGCAGGACCTTGCACTTCCCCTTGTTGAACTTTGAGGTTTGCCTGGGCCCACCTATCAAGCCTGTCAAGGTCCCTCTGTATTCATTCCTTCCCTCCATCATGTCAACTGCACCACACAGATTGGTGTAGTCAGCAACTTGCTGAGGGTGTACTTGATCCCACTGTCCACAACTCCAACAAAGATGTTAAACAGCACTGGTCCCAACACCACCCTGAGATGCCATTCATCACTGCTCTCCACTTGAACATCAAGCCATTGACTACAGCTCTTTGAGTGTGACCATCCAGCCAGTTCCTTATCCACCTGTCAAATCCACCTCTCCAGTTAGAGACAAGGATGTTGTACAGGACAACATCGAGGGCTTTGCGCAAATCCAGGTAGACACCATCAGTTGCTCTTCCCTTGTCCACCAACCCTGTAACCCTGCTGTAGAAGGCCACTATATTCATCAGGCACCATTTTCCCTTAGTGAAGACACGTTGGCTGTCATCAGTCACCTCCTTATTTCCCATCTGCCTTAGCATATTTTACAGCAGGATCTGTTCCATGATCTTGCCAGGCACAGAGGAGAGACCGACTGGCCTGTAGGTCCATTTTTTTCCCTTTTTAGACATGGGGGTTGCATTAACCCCTTTAAAGTTGTCGGGAACCTCACTGGATTGCCATGACTTTTCAAATATGATGGGTAGTGGCTTAGCCACTTCATCTGCTAGTTCCCTCAGGACCTGCAGGTGCATCTCATCAGGTCCCATGGACTTGTGCACCTTCAGGTTTCTCAGATGGTCTTGAACCTGATCTTCTCCTACAGTGGGCAGTTCTTCATTTTTCCAGTCCCTACCTTTGCCTTCTGTGTCTTGAGTGGTGTGGCTGGAGCCCATGCCTGTGAAGACTGAGGCAAAGAAGTCATTGAGTACCTCAGCTGTCTCCATATCCTGGGTGACTAAGTCTCCCATTTCCTTCTGGAGGGGGCTCACAGATAGCATATGATCACTCTTAAAAACAGTGTTCCTATTTCTCTATAACTCAACAGCAAGAGAAGGGAATCCATGTTAGGCTGATGTGCTTGTAAGGCCAAATTCACTTAAATCTGTTGAAGTGTATTGAACAAAACTTTGCTTTAGCATACTGAGAAGGACTTCGACTTCATAGAAACACCTACTTCTTTCGAACTCCCTACTGTGAATGAGACATGAAGATACTCCTCCATAACTTGCTACTGTTTCCTAATTTTTGCTCAGATTGCCTTGAATGTTGTTTGTGTAGGGAATTAATACTTGAACTTTCTCCTTTTAAAGGATATTCCAGTGTGGAGTAATTACAACTTTAAATACTTTGTAAGAGTATAAGCAAAGGTTTATATTTTGTATATGCATGAGTATCTTAAACTTTCCTAGCCTCACTTTGGGAATAATGCAGATTGGCATAGATTCAGGAAGGTAAGGCAGGCGTAACCCTGAGCCAGTGAAAGACTGGATTTGTTTCCTATTTTATTGTTTTGGCACAGTAAAATCGTAGTTATAAATGCCAAGATATTTTTATTTTAGAAAGATCAGGAAAACTGATTTGCCACTCCCTGACAGTTCTTCAGAAATGATGGCCTGGTAATAGATCAAACTGGTGTTAGACCTTTTCCTTTTCTGTGTGACTTTGGTATGACTGTCATTACATATTTTTTTGCATGAATTAGGTACCTTTAGTTTAACAAAGAAATCAGGGATTTAGTGCATGTTCAGGAAGGTGTTGAGTTATTGTGATAACTTGGACCATTTAAAATACTGCCTGAAATACTATTATGGATATGTTGCAGCTGGAACTAACTTGGTCTGTATAAAAAAATAATACATGTTTCAGAGTAAATGGAAATTATTTGGAAGAAGCTGAACTCAGGGTACAGCAACTGTTTTATGGTAATGTCCTTTTGATAATTCTTCATGCTACCTTTTGTTCTACTTTCAGTGTATATACTGAACTATGCTTACTGAGCAGTAAGTTGTATTGGTGTAATTTGTACATATTATTAGCAGTGACAATTTTAAGATTTTTTTTTTTAACTGTTTTAAAGGAGAAATTTGTCCAGAGATTTTTCCAACTTTTTAGTGGAAATTACAGAGGGTACTGCAGCTTGTGTAGATTGTGTTAACCATAAGCTTGTGTTTAAGTGATTTTATTTCATGTAATGCAGTAATAAGTAGATCAAAATAAACAAAAATTTAATTTTACCAGGGGAGCATGAATGTGGCAGCTCTATTCAAAGAAATCTTACCATCCAGGAGGCAGCTGCATATTTAAAGGTAAGCAAATTAGGGGTTTTTCATTGGTTGTATATAAGATTTGTGTAAGCTACAATTTTTAAGGCCTGGTTTCATATCTAGTGTATTGACTAAGGTTTGACTTAGTATTGAATGTTATTTGGAATGTTTGGAATTGATGTCTTTAACACATGCTACTTACAATTATTATTTGGATATATAGCGAAATTTTGGGGGAGAGGGAAGATAAGAGAAACTGGCTTAATTGCATTGAAAATGTAGATAGTAGTGCTTCAATGGCATGCAGGTTTTTTCCCTGTAGTTAAAACACCAGGGCATAATTTAAATTGATGGAGATAGTTGACCAACACAAAAATAATACATTTACTAAATTCAAATCTCTAGAATCTTGTCTAGAAACCACTATACTATGTTTTGAGACTTAGTAGAAAAGGGTACTGTCTTCCTTTCTTTGGGGAGAGAGGTTGATGTGGGGATCTGTGCAGTGGGCCTGAAAGGCAACAGCTGTATAGAGGTACCATGCATTGATGCTTTAAATAGAAATGGTCAGAAAAGGCCTTTTCATTAATTTGATAATTGTGCAGTATTATGAAATCCCCCTCTCTGCTGTCATTCCACTGCCTTACTCCCCAAATAAAAGATGACTCTTGCCTTGTCTTGACAACTGTAAGGTTTATTTTAGCCCATATTGGTGCACCTTTCAGTGGAAAACTACTTAAAGCTTTTAAAAGGCTGAGAGTGTAAGATTTCTTTGATTGGATGGGGAAGAGTTAAGCTGATATGAGTGACAAATTAAACAAATGTTACGCTTTGGCAAACGTTTACATAGTAGACAAAAAAGGCATAGTAGACAGAAATGTTAAGAGCATCCTGAAGAAGCTGCTAACACTAGTTTATGGTTTAGCAGTGATATTCTGTATCTTTTAAAACCAGTGCATTGTGGGCACGTAATGGAAAAAAATAACTTGATGCCAGATAACTGATGGTCTTACCTATCTAGTGTGCTGAAAGAATGACAGTTGTCATCAAAGCAACTATTTTAGCTCTGATAAGAATCTCAAATTACATATGAAAATTTGTCACTTTGTACGAAGTCTCATTTAATTTTGCAGTTCCTCATTTTGGGAGTATAAATATAACTCCTCTGCATAATTTCAGTGTTCAGTGATACAACTTTAATATTTTACTTTCAAAGTGAAAATGAAGCAGTTACTGTTTTTTCTTAAGTGCTTATCCTTTAATTCTAGTCCAGTTACATTATGTGAGGCTCAAAGGAAGGATGGAAATAAATCTTTTTGGAGAGTATAGTTTCAAATACAATATTAGCTTCCGTTTTTTCTTTTCTTCTTCTGCAAAAGAACATGCAAGGGTGAACTATGGAGGCAGCCTTAGCTCAGAGAGCAGTGAATATTCTCCTATGATAGTTGATACCAACTAATTAAAAAAAAGCCAATTTCTATATGTAATACCAGTTCTTGAACTATGAACAATGGGCAAAATATCAGTTAAAATAGGTTTTCCTCAAGCTTTTTTAAAAAAGACCTGAACTTTTTTTTTTATAGGACCCATCTGCAGGTGGGTTTATATCTAGTTTGAGTTTTACTCCTGAAGTATATTTTCAGCGAGCACCGCCTAGTGGCTGAATAATTTTTTCTTGCTGTAGGTTAGAATTGTTAATAAAACAGTGAATGTGGCTTGACTTTTCAAACAGTCCTTAATTTCAGGAATGCTAGTAAGCCTGATTAGCTGCTCATAGCATGTGTAAATTCACTTAATGTAGAGAACCCTTATGCAAAATCTGAAGAATCAAGAATCAAACCACATAGCTTTGGCTACTAATCTGTGTAATATCTAAATTTTATTGTGGCATGTTAACTTTCTGCTTATTTCCAAAATTACACATTAATATTTGTCTTTTGACAGAATTTAGATCCAGAATATGAAAATGTACTTAACACAGCATTGCAATGGATCTTGAATAGCGGGGAAGATGTTGGCATAAAGTAAGTGATCTTTATTTCTTAACTTAATTTCTTCTAACAGTATGTAACCTTTTTCATAAATACTGTGTATTTTTTAATAGGTGTCTCAGCAATGACCCTAATGAGCTGGATGTCACTAATGTGACAGATGTGAAGTATCTGGAATCCACTAGTCCAAAGATGTCTTTCAGGTGTCGTTTTCGCCGTGCGTTTCTTAATGTAACTCACAGATTATCAATATTACTTTTGGGTAAGTTAATAAATAAAGTTTTTCATTATAACTTGAGTTTATGTAAGTTTCCTGGAGAAAAGTAAACATACTGTTTACAGAAAGTTTTTATTCAACCGTAATTAAACTTGGAGTTCATATTAATATCTTGATTACAAATACAGTTCGCTTTACACTTCTCTTGCACCACTGTATTTTCACATTGGTTGCTATCGTCTGCTGCTGTAGTCAGCTCAACATATTCATTCTTTGGGAACTCTGTCTTTTTCCCTGCCAAAACAATACCCTGTGTCTTTCAAAAATTCCGGGTTGAACTGATTTGAAAAAGCAAAATGCTTGGTAAAAAGATGATAGCCTTAATTTTGAGGATATTTCACTGTTGTTCCAGGAACTTTGGAAACATAATTACAGAAAAGATGATTTTTCTAGTTTTGGGGACAAGTTGGGTACCCAAAATAGTTGTCATCAAAAATTTTTATCTCTAAGACTGTGCTGTAAAAATATATCTAATCCTTCAGTAAGGCTAATTAATTTAGTATTTGATAGTTCTCTAGTTAAGTTTCAAGTTCTTTCAAGTTTATTTAACTCTTAACCATACTGAAAACTATGCAACATAAAAATATGGTACAGCTGAGTGCAGACAATTCACTCCTTTTCCATCTGGCTGATTAGAAATATTGAAGATGCAGAGTTCATCTCATGCACCTAATGAATATTTAATAAATCAGTTATCCCGGTATCTTAATAGTCTCATGCTTATGAGACTTGAGACCTTCTTCACTAGCCTTTTGATGGACCAAAAGAATCAAAGGCATACTGTCCCAGATTGATGTCTTTCTGGTAATAGTTGATACGAGGTTTGAATTAGGATGTGGAGATGAAACTCAGTATCCAAGTCAACCACTGGTCTCATCAGTCATGCTGAGTGAATTGCTCTTTGTCTCAACTTTCTCATCTGTAATTAAGGTTAATATGAAGCACCTTTTCAAAAACAAAACCATTGTGTAAATGTTAGATGTGTTGTCATTAACTAACACCCATTTTGACCTAAAATGGTGTCCTTCAGTGTATTTGATGTATCAGTTAATATTGCCTTGCAATCACTGATATGTGAAACAAACTGTTTAACTACTGTAACTATAATTTGTGTATGTGTGTTTTTGTGATGAGGTGTTTTTTTTGTTTGGTGGGGTGTTTTTTGTTTGGTGGTGGTTTGTTTTTGTTTTTTAATGCTGTTAACAGATCACAGGTGTAGTGGTGCCCTCAGCCCAAGATAGGAGAAAGAATAAGATTTTTATTTTCATTTTATGCTGCTGTCCTTCCTACCTAGATTGTCCTTTTTGGGAATAATCTTTAAAGTAATAGAAAATGAGCACACAGTACTTTGTTGCAAGAAATATCAATCCGTAGTTGAACTGAAGCAGTCTAAGTTAATTAGTTTTGACTGGTATACCTAAAGCATGTGACCTGTCTATGAATTAGTGAATATTGTGCATTTTTAAATCTTCACATGTTCTGGACTGTCAGTTTATGTGACTTCTGATATTACTTTGAATTTTACTATTTTTCTTCACAAATGGGTGAAATTTCAAACCAATCAGGGGATACCTGCCTCTTATTAAAACAATAAATGTTTTTCTAATGGTAACTTCTCTTCAAAGTTTAAGAGTTTGTGTTGCTGTGTTAGTAAAATATAAAATATTGAGAGTTAGTACCGTGTATTTCACTAGCTTTGGAATTTAAGATAATTCAAAGTGTTAGCTACTTCAGCCAACTTCTGAAGTATGTGCTGTAAAATTTGTTAAATAACCAATGTTCTAATATGAAGAGTATTATACATCTTAATGCAGGTATAGCAGTGGTTTGGGGAGTCTTGCACTACATGAAATACCGTTGGGCAAAAGAAGAAGAAGAAACGAGGCAGATGTATGATACAGTGGTAAAAATCATAGGTATGGCTTCTTGAGTTACACCAGATATATCTGTATTGGCTCTGTATAAGCTTTTGAAGTACTGGCATTAATTCAGTTACGTTTTCTGCTGGTTTAGTTGTCAGTCATCATGCTATTAGTTCTTGGTTAAATGTGGTTCATGTGTTTTGTTTCTCTTTTTTTTTAATTGAAAAACTCCCCAAAATAAATCATCCTTTAAACCTAATCAAAGCTTTTTGGTATAAAGCTTGTAGTTTATGAATTACATCAGCATGGCTATAATAAATTCCTATTGACTTGGTGGTAATGTTATCTTACTATTGAAAACAAATATAAATGCCATGTTTGTTAACTAGAAGTATGGTGACATGTTGTTTTCTGTACCTGATTTTTCCGCTATCTTTAGCTAAGATATCCACTCCTAAAATGCATGTTAGCTCTCAGTTCCATCCCTAATGGCTTTTCATAGAAAAAGCAGCTTTTTAGTTGGTAACTTTGAGCAGAAATTATGTAACTAAAATAGAATACATAATTAAGTTCTGAAAATCAGCCTTTCTACTTGAAGCCATAATGTTTTCAGTAGCTTGTGTTTATAGTTTTTAAGCTCTGTTTTGGGCTGCATTTTTATTTAATTTGTCTTACTACTTTCACCTGTGGCAATTATAGTAAATGAGGTGGTAGGCAAATTGAAGCTCTTTTCCTGTTTTTAGCATTTTCCTACAGTTTTTTGTTTGCAAATTAAGTTTTGTTGGGGTGGAGAAAAAGCACTTCATTTTCAAAGTTGGCTATCTTTGATAACAGTTAATAGTACCAATCCAGAGTAACTGCAGAACTCTTTTTCTTTATTCCAAAGTTTTTTGGGGTACTTGGAGTCACTGTGTGTGGTTAGTTTTCTTGATTTGCCTTCAGCATGGTTAGGAGGAAAAATGCTTGAAAATGCCCAAACCACCTTAACAACTGAAATTGGGGGTGTGTCTTCAGAGTAGCTGTTCATTGCCAGAACTGATATTTTTCTTAATGTTTGCATGAACTGAATAGTTAACAGTTTTTCTTATGGTGTCCTCAGATCTTCTTAGAAATCACAGCGAGGCATGCTCTGAAAATAAAGACTTGCAGCCTTACATGCCTATTTTACATGTGCGTGATTCTCTAATACCACCTCAGGACAGGTATGTTCTCACTAGAAGTACTGTATTTCCTTATGTGTAAGTAAGGAAAAATAGTAAAAATAAATCGGTCAATTAACTAAGTTAATTTCAGTAGGTTGCATAATGTAATATTTTGGAGATTGTTATTGACACAGGTGGGGAAAAAAAACATTGGATTTCTCTTACATGCTGGATGTCAGCTATGCAGTTGTTACAATGCTAACTTTGTAATTTTTGCTTCAATTTTTAAGGAGGAAAATGAGAAAAGTCTGGAATAGAGCAGTTGACTTTCTTGCAGCAAATGAATCTAGAGTTCGTACAGAGACACGAAGAATAGGTGGTGCTGAGTTCTTGGTTTGGAAATGGATGCAACCTTCTGCACCACATGACAAAATTTTAGTAATACCATCGAAAGTGTGGCAAGGCCAAGGTATTGAAGTTTAGTTATATTCTGCAAATATAATGGCTTTAATTTCTGCATCTAACTTCTAAATGGTATTTTGTTGCTTGAACATGAAAGACTTGTTTTCTCTCACACCTTTAAGTATTGCTATGAACTGTCAGTGCTATTTCTCTATTATCTTGTTGTTCAACAGACTTATTTTTTCTGTGCATTCAGTGTCTGCCTTGTTTTCAGGCAAAATGAGCTTTCCTGTTATAGCTACTGTGGAAATACAGCAGAGGGCATGTAGCCAAAATGAGCTGCTTGTTCCCTTTCATGAATTTAAAAACCCCCAAACTCTTTAGTTGGTCAAATTCTGACATGCCTTATGCTTACTGGAAATAACGTAATTGGTTGTATCTGACAGAGGTAAATCAGAGCTTGAGTTTCCTACTGTTAAGTTATCAGTCAGGTACCTAAAGACAGAGTTTGGAGAAAGAGATGTTTGTTTATTTTGGAAGGGAAACTGCTGGGACAAAAGACTCCTCAATCAACAGAAGGTGGATTTTGAGCATCTCTCAGTAGTGCTTCCTTTCTGTCATAAATGATTTTCTACCCTGTGCATGTGTATTTCAAGCTCTGTGGAGCAGCAAAGCACTTGCTTTAATAGAGGAGGCTGTTGTCATACGTGGATTTTGCAGTGGTCTGTCACTTTTCAGCTTTATCATGGAGCCAAGTGGCAAGAATCCAGTGGGTTTGCAGTTGCCTGTCTGCAGTGGTCATCTTCTAGTTCTCTTTCTTTCTGCCTTTCTTCATGTTAAGCTTCAGTTTTTGGGGTGTTTTTTTGGTCAGTGAAAAATTGAGACTATAAAACTTGAATTCTAGGTCGCAGTAAAAAAGAATGGTCATTTTTATCAATGTCTGAGTGTGAAGGTAAATGTTTAGAGTGAAATCTTAATTGCCAATTGTTTAAACATTGTGACTCTTAAAGGGTCTGTTTTGCCTTATGTTCTTCTGTAATGTGTATTATCTCTCCAGTGGGACTGAAATAAATGCTGTGAGAATCCCAGTTTATAAACTCATCAGTTTATTCTGGCGGTGAGGGAGGAGGGAGTGGTTGCTTCTTCAGTTTTCAGTTTAACCTTTTAAATCGGGTGCTATTAAGGTTCCTATCATGCATTACTTGTATGGCATTGAACTAGATGCTGAAAAAAAGCTTAGGTAAAAAAACAGACTTTCTGCCCTTCCTAGTCTCACTTAAAATTAAAATTCCCACAGGCAAGCAACTGCACACTCATGTATGTTTTTCTGGTGTATGCTAATTTGGTCTTAGTTAACTAATGCAAGTAGTAATAGGCTTCCTTCTTTTGCTTTTTACTGGTATACATTTTTATTCATAAGAAACAATGTTTTTATTGTGTCCTATAAAAGAGGGTACAGTTTAAAGTAGCTCCTTCCAATGTGAGTGCTTCCTTTTGAAAGACAGACAGAAAGAGTTTCTTTGTGGCCTGGAACATATATGCTGTAGCAAGCTTGATCGCCTGAGTAAAAGTAATGCTAACATTCTGGTTTTGTCCCAGGCCACTTGCATGTTTTCATAAGTTCTATATATGCTTTCAGCCCTCTGGTCTTAAATTTTGCTTTTCTGTAAGTTCAAAGCAAAACCAAACAATTCACTCTGTCAACTTGAAAAGCCAAATATTTTGAGACATTTGCAGATACTTGGCATGTTACCTGATGAGGGTCTTAATAGTTTTGGGACCCATTTCTTGCTTGTCTATGCAAAATGTTATGTTGGGATATCATTATATACTTCTCAAAGTTGTGCTACTGGTTTTACCATTACGTTTTTCATTTTAAATCATTAATTGGAAATGAGGGCTGCTTTTTTTTTTTTTTTTTAATACCTTTTGAATATTACTGCAGGCTTGAGGTTCTGCGGTCATTCTCTTGCAGTAATAGTAACATGGTGTTCTTCTGTGCTGACAACTGTATTACATGATTTCAGTTTCTCTATTTTAGTTAGTAAGATGTGCATAGTAACTATCACAAGAGTGACGGAGCCTTTTCTTTCTAGGACATTGTCCGTTAGGGATGTTCAGGTGCCTTAGGTGCAGTGCAGAAATGGTTGGTTTTGTCAACAACTGTCTTTGTTCCATCTCTGTAATACTGTCATGACTGATTTTTCAGACACTCAAATTGAATTTAGCTTCTGCAAGCTGTGTGTATTATAAAGCTGAATCTTCTATATAGTTTATTGTTCAATACAAATTGTGAAACATGACACTCCAGTTCCAGAATTTCTCATTTACTACTCACTTGCTCTCAGTTTTTCTTGTCCTTTTGATTGCAATTTAAATTGCTCCATAACATTCTGTCCTGTATTAGAAGTTGGACTGCATTTTCCTTCACCTGGGAGACTTCTAAGTGTGTGATAGCTCAGGTGCTGCTTTGCTACATGGAATATACTTTCAAGACACTCAACAGTAGTTTCCAAACTTCCTAGAAAGATAGCTACTGTAGTAGCTGCTGTTAGGTACCATCTGAATTTGAGCATCTGATACCTACTTTAGCATATTGTGAATGTGGTCAGAGTAACTTTATCTTTCAGCTGTGGTTTTTATCTGTAAGTTGCCTAGAGTATGTACTTAAGACTATGCTTTCTGTTGAATACGATATATTAAGATCTATCGTTTCAGTTATTTTAAAATAAATTTTCCTAGTGTTCTTGTTAGTAGTGTTGTTTGTAGTTCAGCAAAGATATTTGAAGAATTGAAACTGCATACTTTGGCTCTAACAGAATGGCATGGAAATAGGGATGGCTAAAATGACATAGGTCACTTGGGCTCTGTATATCTTGTTAGTCAGCAGGCAAAGGCAATTTTCACATGCAAAGACTTTCTATTTTGCATTCCTTATTTTCATATGACTGTTGGAAATCGTTACATTATATAAGTTTCATACTTTTTGCACAGCTATTTCTTTCCTGATGTTAGGAATTCTATATGTATGTGTTGCTTTCTACATATTTGAAAGTATAAATCAACTCTAAGTTCATCCTCCAGTTTTCATGTTTGACTATAGATGCTCATAAATCTAAACACTCTTCAGGACTTCTAGGTCATGAACAAACTCAGTACATATAAAACCAGAATGAATTCTTGGTTTTTGATCTTGTGAATAATTGCAAGGTCACGATTTTTTTAACTTTCTGAGATCTTGTGGTGCTCTGTAGCAGAGCACAATACCAAGAGAGTATGTGCAATTGAAGAAGAAAGTTTCTTGACCTGTTATTGTACTAGGATATTGGTAGATGATAGCATGCATTTTAAATATGAGACCTGTAGCATGCATGAAGATCTATGCTCTGCTATCTGCTAGCATCTAGAGTTCAAGCATCACTGTGGAATTTTGTCCAGTCCTTCAGGATGCAACCTGTTTTGGCAGTTTTGTATCTTTTTTTTTTTTTACTGGGTCAGAATAAAGTCTGGTATACTTTCTTTAAGATGTTATCTGCTGGATACAGTAGAGGTATCTGTCAAAGAAAAAAAAGGTCATTAAGCTCATTATAAGATGATGGACAATATGAGTGATGTTTTGAAAACAGTTGACAAGTGAATTGTCAATTGAAAAACAATCTTGTTCATGCCAAAGTGTAATTTAATCAAATCAATGGGAAAAAAACCCTCGCTATTTCTAGTGTGTTCAATTTGCTTTTGAAAGAACAGATACTATTGTCCTATCATACCTTTGATAACCGGAGCTCTAAAGAAAAATAGGTAGACAGAGCTCTAATGTAGCTAAGTTAACAGCAATAGCTAAAGTTCCTTGACAGCTCTGGAGATGAGATAAAGAGGTTTTCTGAAGTACCACATCTAGGGTGATATTTCATCCTGCAGCATGGAAGATAACCTGTTACCTCGTGTGAATGACACCCCTTCTCCCTGGCTTGTGAGAATATAATCCTTTCTCCATGTTAGGGAAAGAAAAAAAAAAAAAAAGGGCAAAAAAAAAAAATGCAGCTCCATTCTTAACTGTTGAAAGAAAAATCTGGATTTTATGCTTCCTGAAAAAGTACCTATCCCATGCTGGTCTTCTATAGCTGAACTTAACTGTATTAAACACCAAGTCAATCACACTCTCCTCTCTTAGTAACATTTAGTAGTCTTTTGATTTCTGTATCTTTCCTGTTTACTGAAGAACCTAGCATTGTGTGAAAATACAGAACTTCAACATTTTCAATTAAATGTTTTATCTTTTTCTTCTTGCCTTTGATAAGAAGGGTTAGTACTTAAAAAATTGCAGTGATCTGTGGCTTAACATGGATAAATCTGTTCTTCAGAAACATGGTTACCTATATTGATGCAAGTCTTCAACCTTATCAGGTGCATCAAATCCACATCTAAAGATCTGTTAGGTTGTCTTACAACCCATGGTGGTGATACTGGGGAATCCTTTTAGCAATAATACAGTAGTAATTCAAGAGGTATAGAAAGCTGTATTACAGTTTTAGATGTTCATTTTGAAGTCTGTGCAAGAGTCACTTCTTCCTCATAGACATATTCCAGTCACGGCAATAAAGAGTGGTTGAAAGTACACACTTAGCTGCTGCTGTTCTTTGAATCTGGAACGATAGTTCTATTCAGCTTAACGTAATAAAACAGAGTACATTATGACTGAAATACAAAGTGGCTTCCTTTTCTTGAAGGTGCTTGCTAGTCCCAAAGGGGAATTTATGCAAGTCCAAAAAATTTTCTTGTCAGTGCCTTATTGCACAAAGTTGTGCTTCTGCTTTCCTATTTCATCTCCACCTTTTTACCCTCATCTTGTAAGTCTTACTGTTGAGACCTATTTAGAAAAAGAAATGTCATATGAGGTGCTTGGTTAATTATGGTGTATCTTAGACTGTTGTCCTGCAAGAATGTCTGCTTATGCCCTTACTGTGGGGAGAGTATTTTTGTATGCTCCACACCAGCGTAAATTTTCAAATAATGAGGACTGTAATCTGAATAGGTTTGATGCTTAAACTTGCTCTTTTGAGTGGAAGGGGAGAATTAATTGTCACAGATGTGTAATGAAGTTCCAGAGACATCTGTTAACTATGCTATTTTGAATTTTGCTGTGTAGGTACAGCATTATTTTTAACTTGCCTGTGTCTTCCCTAGCCTCCCCTTTTGGTCCCATTTCTGGTATACATTTTAACGCTTATTACTATGCTAGCATTAATTTTGTACCTCACTGATGTCTGTGGCCGTGGTTTTTTTTCCTTATACATAAAAAGCGTCATCTAAGTCACAAAACTTCCTTTTAATTTACCATGACTTTGAAACATTTTTGAGAAAAATCAGAACTCATCTCTGTTTTCATATGCTGCACTGCCCTGGGCACACTTGCTCAACTAGTATGATGTTACATTAAGTTGGTAGCAGATCAGTTTTGTGCTGGTGGCGTGCTTTGTCTGAAATCATCTCTGCAAGCACCTGAGATCTTCCAATCAAAAGGACATCGAGATTATGAGAAATCGGAGCAGGCAAAGCTTGGTTTTTATAGGTATCTACACTAAAGCATGAATTCCCCATTTAGTTACTTTTACATAGCTTAATGGTGTAGCTGCTGCCTTAAAAAGCAGTATTTTTTATTTTTGAGTTCATAAACAGCTTGCAGAAATGTTGATCCTCTGGGCCTAGGGTCTCTGCAAATAACCTCACCATTCTTTATCCTTGGATTAAAACCATGTGCTGAAATAAATCTAGCTATTAACAATCAGCACATAATTTCCTCAACCCCACACCTTTTCAGGTCCAGGTCCATGTCCATGACTAGGCCACCCCCGATCACCTTCTCCAGTATGGTGTGGTGCCCCAGTGTACAATATGCTGGTGACATTTCACGCCCCCCCTTGACCTGCTGGAGCCAACCTACATGAGTAAGGTAAGTCCATTTATTTTTCAATGTTGCTTAGTTCTGTAAAGTTTTTCTTGTATACCCTATGTATAATTTTTTAACTAAGGGCAAAAAACTTTACAAAACCATGTGCTATTGAAAAAGGACTTGTCCTTAAACTATAGGCAGCTCAGAGATAGATGCAGTGTCACCAGCATATTTAGAAACCTGTTCCCAAGAGAAAAAAACAGTTGTTACAGGTGTCCGGTGATTTGGACAGTGTGTGTGTATATTCTACTAAGAACATTTTTAGTTATTTGGGGAACTTACATTAGGTTTTGTATTAGATTTGGAGGCTACCTTTTCTAATTTCTGGTTGGTAATTGTATATTTTTTGCCTCAAATTTACATAAGGAGCAAGTTTGTCTATGCTGTATCTGCAGGCAGTGAATTTTCTCTTTTAGTGTTTGTCTTGCACGTGCAGTGTCTTCCACATGACTGAATTTCTTCTATGTGACACAGTTTTTGTTTTGGTGACATACAGAAGAGCAGCAGTGTTCGTGTATTTTGGATATACTTGCAAGACTTTATTTTAAAAGGTCAACAGTAAAAAGCATGGGCCTGTAGCATCATCTGCCCAAAACTGAAACGTCTAACACATGGAACGTAACATCTTGAATCTGTCAAACTTTTCCAAAGGAGGGATTGTAAAGGAGCAGTGTTAGCATCAGTTTGGAACATCATTTTGTCTTGTTGAGATCTTTAATCTTATGTTTAAACTCTTGAATCTACTCATCTCAAGTCTTCAAAGTAAAACTTCCTTCAAGCCTCGGAAGTTGTGTTGCCAGGTTATCCCCTTCCATTTCTTTTGCTGCTTTGTTGGCCCTTCTCAAGGCCTGGAACTACCTTATCTGAATCTCACGGGCTCATTTACTCCTTTTCTTGTGGTGCAGTCTTCTGTTGCAACTCCCACAAATAGAACTTGTGAACTTTATGGAAATTAATATTTATTTTAGAACTTCATAATGTATTTCATGGGATTGTTCAGCTTTGAAAGAGTTACTCTGTTATTTTTAATTTCCATTTTTCTTTTTACATCTGTTTTATCCTCTGGTGTGTTTCATTTCAGATTTTTGCAAGCTTCTGATCATGTGTAGAGCATTTATAGTTACAAAAGCTCCATCTTTGTAAAGTGCTCCTCGGCAGTTGTTTCTGCAATACAGATGCAATACAACATCCAAGTGTCTCCCTATTAGTCAGATGGGCAGTAAATTTTCCAAAAAGTGGATGAAATTGAAATTCATCAGGCAGTTTAAAACTGAATGGTTAACCTGCAGCTCAAAAAATTTGCTCCAGATTTTAAAAATACCTGTCTTTTCATGGAGATGTAAATACTTGTCTCTTCAACTATATGGTATTTTTTTAAAATATCCTGAATTCATTCCATGTACTGTGGCCTGGATATAAGAGAGTGCATTATCTTTTTAAATGTAGAAGTTGTAAATCTGAAAAATTCAATTAAGTATGGTACATTTTCTTCTGTGCAGTAGAAGACTATGGGGAACTTAACTTGCTTGAAGCTTTTTCATATATGAAGGGAAGTACTGAGTAAAACCAGAACGATATTAATGAATAAAGTTGACGCTTGTTAACTAGATGGTATTATGCCTGTCAACAATTATTATTAAATATATTTTTCTTTGCAGCATTTCATCTAGATAGAAGAAATTCACCACCAAACAGCTTGACACCATGTCTAAAGATTCGCAATATGTTTGATCCAGTTATGTAAGTAAAACCAGTTATCTATCAGTGTTTCTGTATTCGTTTGGAAGGGTCCATTTCTTTATTCTGGGAGGGGTTTGGAAGAAGTGAGTAAACGTGAATACCTTAAAAGAAACAAATGGGTTGTATAAAAAAAGTCTTCCTCTTTAACATCTATGAGAAGATGTAAACAATCTTCCTGTCTGTCTTCTGTCCTTCATTGTCTTGCTTTGTGTCTTTGGGTCGCTTCTTGAAGAGTGTGGCATTTAGTCAAACTGCTTGGAGCGATGACTCATCTTTCTCCATTAATTCTAGAAATGTTCAGTTATATCAGCTGATAGGGGAGACTCATGTGGTCTAACAAAAGACTGTAAGTTTCTGAAGTATTGTTAAGTATTCTGGAGTATTTAGGCTGTTACAGAGCTTGCGCAGTTTACATTTAAAAGGCTGAATTTAAATAATGTATTACTTTATGGTCGTGTGACTGCCTAGTTTTGAGGCAGTCAAAACTGATTTTTGTAGTAGGAAGGTTTTAAACAAATTAGTGCAGAGTAATGACTTATAAATGCTCAGATAAAATTCTAAAGTATGTACTGTGTATGAATAAACAACAAGCCTTGTTTCACATGCCTAGACTTAAGGAAGAATAAATAATTTTTTGGTAGTCTTTTAAAGCTTCATCCGCTCCACTATCCTGTTATATCCCACTGTCTGTGGAATAGATTATGTTAGGAGTTGGGGATTTAACACATAGGATATGCCAGCTAATTTTTCTAATCTTTGAAGCCTGGTTTGTTCAGTGTAAAGAGGTGCAGGGACTCCAGTAACTTCTCTGAAGTCATTTATTCCTCAATGTGATTATAGAAGGAAAAAATGAAGATGCTATACTGTCTTACCGAGTAAACGTGAGATGCTTATTAGGACTGAAGAATATGAGAAGTTGAGTGGAAATAAAAGCTGTTGATTAGAATAGGGAATAACAGGAAGTAGGAGGGGACACCGGAGTATGGAAACAAGTTATTGCAAAGTTTGGGTATATTTCTTCAGCTCTGTTTCACTTCTGTTTCTAGCCACACTTAATTACTTTAGTTCTTTGCCTTATTAATTGGAAAGCTGTTAGCTGATTTAACAGAGGACAGTGTTCTCCCTAGCACAGAGTAGTACTCTAAAAACTTTTTCTCAATGGCTTTAAGACTTAGTGACCATTGTGGGCAGAGACCACAACTGTGGCCTCTCTCATAAATTTCAGTAGGATGAGCAAGACTGAAATTTTAGGCATTGTTCTTGAGGCATATTGATCTTCCTGTAGGAGGATGAAATAAAAGATGAGATTTGCTGAGAATTGTGGGCAAGCTCAACATCCTCACTGTCCTTGCTATAAAGGAGACTGTATGAGCTGTATTGCTTAATCTGAGTAGTACTGAAATAAATCCATTCCTGAAGCTTCACTGTCATATTTATTGGTATGCTGTGTTGGTTACTTTCTTGTTTCAAAATGTTAGCTGTTCAAAATGTCTGCTGTTAATGGAGCTAGTAACTGAGATGTTATTTCTGTCAGAACAGTCTCCCTTTATAGACTACATCCTTGCTGTAAACTTCGGTGATTTTTGTACTGACCTAGTCTATGCCCAGCAAGTGCATTAAAAGAAAATAATTTATAGACTAGAAGTTGTTCTCTTTTGACACTTTTTGGTAGTGTCTATGTCCAGGTAGCTATTTTGAACAGTGTAACTTCTAATACATTCATTTTTTGTAGACCTTTTCTTTTGGAAGTTGACCTAGCTCTGCTGCTGGAGTGCTGGATTATAGTTGTAGTGGGATACTTCATCCAATTTCATATTGTACACCCCGGCCCATCTTTTTCTCTGAGCTGTCTTGCAGAGGGCTGCTGCTTAAGGAATTACTTTTTATGACATGATTGGAATAATCTCAAAAAAAAAACCCAACCCAACCAACAAAAACCAACAAAACGGAAACAAAAACCTCAAACCCTCAGTGCAAAACAAACTACTTTATTCAGTTGCTTGTGCCAAAAGAGGAAGGAGGTTTATGTTCTTGTCCCAGATCTGGAAGGGATGAATGCCTTCACTGAACACCTGAAACACAGAATGTACTGGTGTATGTGATTAGATTGACAAGTACTGTTTTGACCTTTGCCATGGGTACAAAGGTATGTTTAACAAAATTGGGTTTTAGCTGCTTTTTTAAGTCAAGCTACTGTAAACTAACAAGAAAAGACTAAGTACTTTTCAGTAATATGCCAGTAGCTGGTAAAAGCAGCCATTCATAATGGAGGTCTTTTCTCTTGACCTGAAAATCATCTGAGGAATATACCAGTTAATTTGTACTTACCAATGCTAACAGAGTAAATAATCACCTTTCTACTGCCAAAAGTCAGAAAACTTACCTGGGCACTGTAAACCCTCAGACCACAGCAGCAGACTTGGGTGTATGTTCTAGGCATTTACTAGGCCAGACATAAACCTGTTTTTTAAAATAACAGTATCAGCGTTATTTGGATAAGCCCATTTTAGCATTTCTGTGTCTACCACCAAGTCAGTGAAAAAAAATGTTTCATATAGCATGGGTAGGATTCCTGCAAGACTCATATTGACAGCACATACCTGTGCAGGATCAGGAAAGGGGAAGTCATTCCTGTTGGGAGCCTATTTCTTTATGGGAAATCCAGGTTAGTTGATAATTTATGATGTTTCATGTCCCAGGTCTGCAGAAGACGAAAAGTAGACTAGACTGGGAGTGGACTTCTGCTTGATGTTTAAACAGGAAATGAGCACTTGGGACTAATGCAGTGACTTCAGTATTTGGGAACAATACACAGCAGAAAAGATGACTGCCTGCCCTTAACAATGCGATCTCTTCTTATGTAGCTAGCTTTCTGCTGATGACAGCATGCTTCTCAGGAAAATCTGGACTTGAGTCCTGGGTTGGGAGGGAATGCACTGAAGTCAAGATTTCATAGAATAGCTTTGGTTGGATGGGACCTTTAAACGTCCTTGCTTTTGCAACTTGGAATTACTTTATTTCCCTAACATCCTGAGGACAACATGTTATAAAATACTGTTGTTCACACTGTTAGAGATGGGGAAGGAGAATATACCCCCTTCGTTTTGAGCTTTCTAATAAAAGAAAACACTCATTTTCTTCCAGCCAGAGTAGGGTGCTGCTTTTCCTAAATTTACAAGGTTTTAAATTGTAGGTGTTTTCCACTGGAGAGTCTCTCTCCCAGTAGGACCTTCATTTGCATCTTCTTTGCACCCTTGTGTCCCTCTCCCACTTTTGTTTGCTTGTTTAGATATGATCGGCCTCTTTAAGGGGCGTCAGCTGGAAGGTCTGATCCTCTAACCTATCAAGGTCAAATGACGGAAACAAACCTGACATTCCATGTTGCCAGAGTCCGTAAAGTATTGTGTTAGTACCCTGCTGAATAGATTTAAGTAACATCCCTGACCAGTTAACTTTGCTATATATGTTCCATCCCTCCACCACGTTTTTTGGGGTTGTTGTTTTGGTGGTTTTTTTTTCGTTTGTTTGTTTTGTTTTGTTTCGTTTTGTTTTTCTTGTTTTTTGTTGTTGTTGTTTCGTTTTGTTTTGTTTTTTGTTTTTTGTTTTTTTTTTTTTTTAATCAATAAGGAGTAGGGTAGTCTAAATTTTTCAAGAATTTTGGCCTTGTATAGAGAAAACTGTTTAAAACTATGCAAAGCTCTTGATAGTATTATTGAAAGAGTAAGTTAATTGTTTTTTGTGTAAAGACTATTCAGGCAGGCTTAAAGGTGTATTAAGGCTTTTGAAATTGTTTTCCTTCTGCTTAGATTTATTTTACTAGGGCCAGATAGTTCCTGCAGTGCCTTCACAAAAATACATCAACTTTTGTCTTCTCTAATGATGTACTGAAAGATTGATTAGTCTTGACAATAAAATATTTTTTGTGAAAAGCCCTCAAAATTGCAGTCTGATTGTAGTAACTTCTATTTCTGGATCTAGTTTGGCATGTTTTATCCGTACCCTATGGGACGAATGCAATTTGATGCTTTGTTTGGGATAGCGAGTAGCTATTTCAGAGATGAACAGTGTCTGAATAGCTAAAAAGCTCCTTCAGCCTGATGAAGCCTGACATGTAATGTTGTTTCTGCGACTGCTGGTAGAGGTGATACAGTAAAGGGGCAGAGGCCTTCAGGCTGTTGTCTTCCCTGCTTTTCTTCCACTGCAGTAGGAACAGCCTAGGAGCAGCCTTCTCCTTGGAACAACGGCCAGACTGTCCGAGAAGGCGTGGGAATATGAGTTTAAGAGACTCTGCAGTTTCAGACAGGAAGGTGATGGCAGGCTGCTGGAAGGGGGAGGACAAACTCCCCCAAATACAGATTACTCCTCTTGATTTTTAGGGTTGAATTTTCTGAAGTGGTCTGTAGAACCCAATTTACTGAATATTCAATAGCTAAAGTACTAAACCTGCCCCAAAGGCGTTTAACAGAAAATTATGTCAAGTTACAGAGAAACCAAACTCAGTGAGGAAGGATGAGATTGTCGTGAATGTTTAAAAAGTTACATGCTTAGTTAAATCTTTCATTGTTTGCACAGGGAAATAGGTGATCACTGGCATCTAGCAATTCAAGAAGCAATCTTGGAGAAATGCAGTGATAATGATGGAATTGTTCATATTGCTGTTGACAAAAATTCACGTGAGGTGAGTGTCTTTCTTTCCAGTAACATCTTAATGCTTTGTTTATCCTTGTCTGTTGGACTTGAAAAAAAACTCCCAAACCCTCTCTTTCTTAATGCAGGGTTGTGTATATGTCAAGTGTCTCTCTCCAGAGTATGCTGGAAAGGCTTTCAAGGCATTACATGGCTCTTGGTTTGATGGTAAGGAATGGGGGTTTATAACAAAAACGTGTGTAGGAATGACATAGGATGGGTGCAGTTGGAGTTCTTTTAAATGGTGAAATGTCTTATATCTAAAGTATTGAGCTGTAACAAAAACTGGATCTTTTTAGTAGTCATCACCTAGTAAATGAATTTCAGTGTAATGGCATGTTTGTGTGTATTATGTCCTGAAACAAAACATAATGGTACTGAACTAGAAGGTTTCTCTTATTTCTTTGCTTCAGGAAAGCTGGTGACAGTAAAATACCTGCGACTAGATCGGTATCATCATCGTTTTCCCCAGGCTCTTACTTGTAACACTCCACTGAAGCCATCAAATAAACACATGAACTCTATGTCACATCTGCGTCTTCGGACAGGCACAACTAATTCTCAGGGAAGTTCCTGAGAAGACTTTCTACAACTGCTAGGACTGTTACTTGCAACAGGAGTTTTCCTGTTTGGCTGCCGTCTTCCTTTTTTAGTGCTTTTTGTATGTAATACTTTAATGAATTAAATAAAAGTTTGAACGTTCCAGAAATCTTGTTTCCAAAGGGATTTAGCAATGAGGCAGTAATACTGAGCTGACAAAAAAAAAAGAAAAAATTTGCTTCAGGAAGTTTTCCGGGGCTATAGTAAACCAATGCATTTAAGTTTTGCATGAGGAATACCGAATTAATTATACATTTGCAGATGTGGTGACTGTATTTTTGCACCAAGAAGTGTTTTTGATAATACAAAAGCATGGAGAAAAGATGACTTCCTGTATTTCCATAGTTTCCTGTGAAATAATCTTGTGGGTATTTTGTAACAAACAACCTACAGTTCCTGATGGTGAATAAGTTAAAAAAATTTCTTTTTCAGTCAATATTAGTTTTTTGTTGCTGTATAAGAATCTTTTTCTGCAGCTAGGGTATGGGGAAAGTTAATCTGGCATTAGTGGTTGCATATAAGTGTGAGGGAAGACGAACTGAATGCGGATGTGCTAGGTTTTGTATATAAATGTAAATGCTGGTGGCGGCAAAAATGGTTGTGTTCTGTGAGGATGTCTGCATTGAAGCAGTGAATAAGCTTCCTATTTTATTCAAAACCTAATGTTTTATATGGTTTTGGCTGTACCATGACAAGAGGCCAAATACCTTAAAGTGTTATATACAGGTTAAATATCTTTTATAGGTTTTATATTAAAATACCTGACTATGATTTTGTGTGAAAGGTCTGATACCAATTGTAATGAATTCAAATTTGTGAGCAATAAAGAAGCAATTGGCAGATACTGGAAAAATATTTTGTGAAAAGCTGTATTTATTATTACAATTGCCAGGGCTGTGACAAAATACCATTGGGATGAAGTGACTTTCCCAATACATGAAAACTTGTGTTACCTGTTAAAATTTTAAAAGGTACATACTTCCTTGCAACAATTTTGGCTGATGCGAACTAGAAGTACAGCTGACAATAAATCTTGTGATTCAAAGCTTGTAAATCTACTAACATTTACTTAGAAGTTCAAAATTGTTGCTGAGAAGCTTAGTTGCAAATCTAAGATTATTGGCTTTACTAATCCCCATTCCTACAACAATTTTATCTAATTATCCAGCTGAACATCCTGTAAGAGGTGAGACTGGAAGCACACCAGTCCCATGAATTTTACTGAAACTCACTTTACTTTGTAGATATGATGGATTTGCAGCATGAACTTGCACAAATAATGCACGTTTTTCTTATGGTTAAGTAAACATGATGCACACTATTCTGCAACAGAAAATCCTATTGTGCCTTACCTTTGTGCTTTTGTGGGCACCATGTTTATTATTGGAGAGTTTGTTAACCGAAAAATTTTAAATCCTCAGTTTTATGTCTCAGATGCTAATGAATGAGTATATATAATATATAATCAGCCATGCAGAATTCTACTTACCAAGGACAAGTACATATTTTTGATGGGTAAGTAGATTGTGCCAGGTCTGGTAGATTTTGATGAGTTTTACTATATACATATATGTATATGTATAATATACATGTATATGTATTATATATATGTATATAAACTAATTTTGTTGTATTTGATGTGCATCATAGTGATTTGTTAACCTGACCTTAGTGACCCCATCTTGTGACCTGTTGCAAGAGTGAATGTAAAAATAGTTGTGGCATTTTAAAAGGTCGCCTCGATGCAAATGCATCTATCTTGCTTCTAAAATATATTTCTTGTAAACACTGTACATTTTATTATTGTAATATGTACTATTATGCAGCTTATTTTACCTTAAACTGTTAAGATGACCGATATCCCTTCCTGCAAGACAGATTGGGAATGTGTACAATACCTGAACATTTGAGAAAAATCAGATGTTTGTTGTAATTTGTCACCCTGTCCTGTAAAAAAAAAAAAAAAACAAAAACAAAACAAAACAAAAAAACAAAACAAACTCAAATTAAAGGTTTATTAGGGGTTTTTACATGTGTCTCACCTTCTAGATATTTGGATGTCTCTGACTTAAATACTACTTAAATCTGGGGGGTGGGAGGGAGATTCATTCATCAGAGCCACCTAGTTTTTAATGTTTGTTAGGATTTTAAGCTGAACAGGTGCTACTGTGAGCCGAAATACACAACTGAGCTTCACTTAAATGTCTGTCAGATTGAAATTTGTCCGGATTTTGTACAGTGGGAGTGCAGAGGCATTACTTTGATGTCCAAGTCCAGGGGAAGCCACGTTGTCTGACCTGTTAAATGAGAGGTGAAGAGTCTCAGCCTTGTGTTTACAGCTTATTTCTTGTATTTTGAGTTAGGAAAAGATCTCAGAGGGATTTTGATAGACTAACAGAAAATATAGGGCTTTTTTTTTTCTGTCATTACATTTATACTATGCTGTTTTAAAATTGTTTTAGTGAGGATTTGTGTTGAAGGGTTGTGTGATAGGAGAACCAAAGAAGGGTGTGTAAGTCATAGAATCATCATAGAATGTTTTGGGCTAGAAGGGACCTTAAAGACTAACTAGTCCAAGCCCCCTGCCCTGGGCAGGGACACCTTTCATAGATTGGGTTGCTCAAAGCCCCGTCCAGCCTGGCCTTGAACACTCCCAGGGAGGGGGCAGCCACAGCTGCTCTGGGCAACCTGTAACAGGGCCTCACCACCCTCACAGTGAAGAATTTCTTCTTTAATCTAAATTTACCCTCTTTCAATTTCAAACCATTACCCCTCATCCTATCTCTACGTTTCCTGAGATAGAGTCCCTCCCCACCTTTCCTGTAGCCCCCTTTAAGTACTGGAAGGCCGCTATAAGGTCTCCCCAGAGCCTTCTCTTCTCCAGGCTGAACAACCCCAGCTCTCTCAGCCTGTCCTCAGAAGGGAGGTGCTCCAGCACCCTGAGCATCTTTGTGGCCTCCTCTGGACCCACTCAAGCAGGACCATGTCCTTCTTATGCTCTGGAGCCCCCAGAGCTGGACGCAGCGCTGCAGGTGGGGTCCCATGAGAGCAGCAGAGTAGAGGGGGAGAATCACTTCTCTTGACCTGCTGTCCACGCTGCTCTTGATGCAGCCCAGGACACTGTTGGCTTTCTGGGCTGTGAGCACACGTTGCTGGCTCATATTCAGTTTTCCACCCCCCAATAGCCCCAATTCCTTCTCCGCAGGGCTGCTCTTGTTCTACTCATTGCCCAGCCTGTGTTTGTGCTTGGGATTGCCCCAACCCGTGTGCAGGACCTTGCACTTCCCCTTGTTGAACTTTGAGGTTTGCCTGGGCCCACCTCTCAGGCCTGTCAAGGTCCCCCCGGATGGTATCCCTTCCCCCCGGCATCTGCTGAGCTTTTAGCTCTTCTCTGTGGAAGGGGAGCGGGAAAATGGAGAGTTTCACTGTAATTGTTTCCCTCCCTGGTTTGGTTGTTTTTGTTTTTTTTTTTTTTTTGGATGATGTACAACCTGGGCATTAAGAACCATCTTAATTTTTCCGCCTGTGATGAAGTTGGACCAGTCCCTCGGCCCCTGGCCGCAGGCCGGGGCCGCAGCCGCCACCGCCCGCTCCCGGCGGCCGCCGCAGGCAGGTGCGGGCCGCGGCGGGGCTGCGGCCTCTCGCACAGCGGGGCCCGGCGCCCCGCTCCCCCCCACTTCGGAACGCCAGAGAAAATTACTTTGAAAAAGTCTAAAAGCTGCTCCGCTGGCCTACTGCCGAGGCACACCCTTTAAATTAAAAGGCAGGGAGCTCCGGGCCTGCTGCACTGGCGGGATAGGGTCTCCACCCCACCCCGCTCCGCCGTGCCGTGGCTGCGGAGCGGACACAACCGGAGCCCCCGCGGCTCCATGTTCATATTTGGCGTTGGCCGCCGGTGCCCAGGAATTTCCCGTCATGCTCCCCGGGCGGCGGGCCCGTCACTGCGATCCCGGGGGGCGGGAGGGGCGGAGGGGGGTGTGTGTGTGGGGGGGTGTGTGTGTGGGGGGGGGTGGGCCGGCCGGGGCCGTTCGCTCCCTCGGGCCTCTCCTCATGCGCGCTGCGCCGCCGCCGCCGCTGCTCTCCGCGCTCTGCCTGGCGCTGGCAGCCGCCGCAGGAGCCGCAGGTAGGAGCAGGCGGCCGGCCCTCCACTTCGCCGGGCCGGGCCGGGCCGGGGGGCTGCGGCGGGGGCGAGGGGAGGAGCGGCCCCGGCGGCGCGGAGGGGCCGGGCCGCACCTGCTGGGGCTGGGGCGGGCAGCGGGTCCCCCCGCTGAGGGGGGGGACACCCCTACACCCCCCCGTCCTCGGGCCCTGCCGGCAGCGGAGGGGGCCGGAGGGGGGGGGGGTGTGTGTGTGCTCGGGTTGATCCCCGTTCCACCGAGCGAGCCCACGGCGGGGTTTGCCCGCCCGCCATCCCGGCCGTGCCGCTGTGGCGTCCCCGCGGCCGCCGCAGCGGCTGAGGCGGCCCCCGGGGCGTCCTCCGGAGCCGCAGCTCCTGCTTCTCGCTCAGAAACGAGGTAAAATACTCGCTGGGGTGTGCAGCGGGATGGTTGGCGCGGTGAAGCAGCGCTTGGGCGAGTGCGGGGTTAGTTCAGGTCTGCTGCGGTCGCCTGGCTCGGGAAATGGTGCTTCGTCGGTCAAAAAAACGAACTTAAAACTTCATATACGCTTGCAGAATTTGGTCGTGTTTTCCTAAGGGATCTGTGTGCTCCGTCGCTGCGTTTGTTTTGTGTTATGTTACCGGCAAACACAGTCGCTGCAAATAATTAGGTATACTTTATTTCTTGCTGTCCCTTTTTCCAAGTTAATCTAGCAGTATGTGGTGCATCTCTAATATTCCTGGAAATATAAATGAGACTCACGCTTCCTTTAATATTTGACAAATTTGCTATAAACGCTGGCTCTTCTGCTTGAGCTGAAAGTCTAGTCATCGTCCCCTTGGCATAAAGACTGCCTGAAGGTGCAGTGATCTTAGATATGGAGGACTGTGTATTAAAAATACCAAATCTAACGATGGGTATCTACAGGTAAGGCTAGGTGCCTACTGTTACTTAGCGATAAACATCAGATCTCTGTAACAGTTCTGACCTTAAACGCAGCTTTCAGGAAAGTACAGAGCCTTACATTATATATGTCATGCTTTTGGTTCCTTCTCTTTTAAGCATCCTGTTGTGCCTATTAAAATGGTTCTGAAACTGTGCTCTCTTGAAAGATGTCAGAATGAGATATCTGCAATAGGCAGATACTTTGCCTTACAGATACGGCTTGTTTATAGCAAGCAGCCTGTAAATGGAAGAGTCAGCTCCACTCCCACTATGGCACAGTGCCATTCATCTGAATCCAGCGTTTAGTGCTTAGAATTTGTCCTGTTTATGTTCTTGCCCTCGCTGAATTGACACAAGTGCTTGCTGTCTTATTTGCTGATGATTCCCAACATTTTTATTGCCCTGCTGCGTGCCTTTGCAGTTCGTCATGATTCCTTGTCTGCCAAATTTGGTTGGTAATGGTGCCCTTTAAGTCTGGTTCTGGAAGTAGTTTCCATGTGGCTTGTCATCTTAATCAGACGTTTGCTCATAGTTCCTAAAAGAATTGCCTGCCTCGCTGTGGACATGGCTTATTTTAGAACAGTATTTCTTATTTGTCTTTTAAAATATATGTAGGGAATTAAGTATGGTGAATAGCTCAACTAGAGTTACTAAACAATCCTAGAATTCCAAGATGAGATTTTTTTTTTTTTCTAAATAAAGTTCTGCATTGATTTCTCAAAACCACTGAAGTTAGAGGAGTTAAGCCATATATAGTTCAGTCCAGAATGTGGTTGGTGCGTCTTTTTCCTGCCTGATGTTCCTTGGATCT